AGTTATAAAATCTGGTAATATCATTATTACTACTTAGAATGTTATAATTCCTCATTCCAAAGCATGATACCCAGTTGACAATTCCAAAAACCTATCATAGACACCAGGTTATTAATTAACTAATCCTTCACCTCAAAGTGACTCAGGTAAGGCAGATGAAGATGATATAAGTATGATGAGGATTTAAACACTTGAAACCTGTCAGCACTTCAGGAAAAGTAACTTAAACTGCACATGGTTCCAATGCATAATCATCATATATTAAAAGCACACATTACTGTAATTCATTGTACTGCTAGTGATCTTAAAGTATTAAGAGCACATTCATAAAGTCTAAATTTGTCTCCAAGGAGTAGCTTTGAGTTGGGGAATATCTGGATCATTAAGTAATTTCCTTAGGTCAAAGTAAAAGCACTTTATCTCTGAATATTACTTCCCTGGCATACTGGATATAGCAGTAGTTAGTAACAGAATGACCTTTGTCTTAAACCATTCATAGATCCAGTAGAAGTTTCTTCAATTTTAAGAAATTAAATGCATCCATATCATCATAAGTCTTAAATATTGAGTTTTTTCTCTGAAATTTTAACCCAGCTACTTTTCTTTTACACATTTATAGTTCTTGTAATTTTTACTTTGGTTAACTTATATTGCTGGTTTATTTAAACAGTATAATTTCCAGTTATAAATCCATTATCATTAAAGTGATATTTGAGTAATTATTTTATTTCAAAATTTTATTGGTTCAATTTCTGTTTTCTACACTGAATAAGCTGTATCTTTGCATATATTTTTGTTAGTATTTTTAAGTAATTGCACAAAGGAGTTATACCATGCAATAAAACAGTTTATTTATACAATGCCTGCTGATCAATGTCTCCCCTTTGCGCATTGCCCCTAATTCCCCCCAGTCAAGCCCCTTCCATTACTTTATCTTAAATTTTAGGATATGTATTAAATTTTATAATGGCATCCCCACTTTCTCTCTTCATTTTTCTACCCTTTTCCCCTGATTTCACCATCGCTTTTGAGAATCTTCTTCCTCCTGTTTATTTTGTTAGACTGTGAGTGGACTTTTCTAAGTAATTACACTATTTGAGCTCTCACATGAACCTACCATATTTTGGATAATAATTTATGTACACTGGATAATATCCAGAAAGGGTTGCATGGACTTTTAAATTGTCATATTTTTATATTGGAGGTAAGATCACCATATTCTTAATCACTGAAAATGAAAATGCATAGAAAAATCATCAAATACATATCTTCCATAGAGATATTCCATTTGTCCTATTGTCATTATGCCATGCAATGTTCCATGAAGTCTGACAAAAAAAAGGATTCTGAAATTCCAAGAAAATAAAAAGGAAAATGATGACTTATTTGGATAGGATACAAAGAAATCAGAAAATGTATTTTCTCTTAGATTATTACAGGAGTCAAGGGATTCTGAATGCTGAATAGCTGTTGGCCCATTTAGGTTGAACATTGAAAAGTAGAAATAGCAGATGCTACCCATACCTAACTGGCTTTCTATTATTGTGTGTATAAGTGGAATTGGAAGGGAAGACAAAATGAGCACATGGCACATGTTTTACTGTTGACTTTTAATTTGTAAGTAGTGCTTCTAATCTTTCTATAAACTTGAAAAAAAGCCTATTATGCAAATATACTACAAGAATACCAAGTAAAACTCATGGGATTCAATATGCTTTCAAGCCAGATGAACCATTCCTGTTATGGAAAATATAAAAGTAGAGGGAAACATAAAAAAAACAACAATTTAAGTATTTAGTGAAGTCTTTTGAATAGTCAATGAAAAATTTCAGTATGTACATATGACTACATTTTAAAGAAATTATTCTTACACAGATCTTTTCAAGAGCTTAATGATAGTGTCTTAAACTATGTTCCAGTCCAATACCAGAAAATCTGAGACCAAATTGTTTCTTCATTTTTACCCCATTTTTAACATTCTAATTTCTCTCCTGGGGCACTAGTTACCATTTTTTTTTTCAAGGTGATGTATAGAGGGGTTCCAGTTGCATAAGTAAGGTAAAAGTACCAATTTTTTATACAAGGACTTCAACTCATGGATTCCTACCTTTTATCTGAATTGACACATTTTAACTAACAAAAGTTTCTAATATTGTTGTGAATTGTATATTTGATTTAAAGATACTGTTTTTTGATAAAAAAGGAATTACTAAGGAGCCTAAGTTCTTAGCATTATATTTACTTTAGGCTTTCTACTACATGGCATCATCTTCTTAAGAGCCTTAATCTGGATATTATCTTTATTTTCTTCCCTTGGAAAATCAACATAAAATTACATAGATAGTGCCTCAATTTTGGGGGGAATGTTTTCCTATGTCATGTTCCTTCCTTGTTTTCTTAATATCTAGTAATCATAATACCCCCATTAAAATGCAACTTAATAATAAAGCAAGTAAGTCATTTGCACTCTTGAGTGTGCACATGAAAATTTGAAATCTAGTTTCCAAGGTTAAAAAGAGAATATTGTCTTTGAATGCCTGATAAGTTCAAATACACAAGTTCAGGCCTTTTGTAGTAAATTCATGTGACACCTTCTATAGCCACTACCTTGCTTCTGCCCTAAAGGAAGAGTGAACAATCTTCAGTTCGTGCCCTGGAGAGTTGTAGGCAGAGCAGAGCCCCTCTAAAGCAATTCAGACTGTAAAAATACTAGCAATAACTTGTACATGTTTCACATTGTAACCTATGTGTGAGCAGAAACTTTATCTTCAAGACATACTAAGAACAAGAAGATATTTTGAAATACAACCAGATGTGAGAGTAATGGAAGAATTTTAAAAAATATATATAATTTATAATTGCCATTAGGGTAGCTCCTTAGTTTACTAAATCATACAATAAATAATCTAAGTCTTTGTAAACTTACACTATTATTATTAAACCATAAATTAATATTATATTCAAACCAATAATGATGTCAGTACAGTTTAAGTATAAATGCATTTTTTGGGTGGTCAGTTGTGGGTCTTGTACTCTTGGCCTGGGCGTTGTCCCTCAGCTCTTCAGTTAAAGGCTAGCGCTCTACCACTTGAGCCACAGCGCCACCTCCAATTTTCTAGTGGTTAATACGAGAGATAAGAGTTTCACAAACAAGACCACACTAAAGCTACTAGCACAACTATGTTTATTGCAGCATTATTTACCATAGCTAAGATATGGAACCAACCCAGATGCCCCTCAGTAGATGAATGGATCAAGAAAATGTGG